CAGGAATACGTTGCAGTTTTTGGTTTTCTCAGCTTTTACCTGCCTTTAGCAAACTATGAAAAAGTCCACATGGTGGAAATAGAAGCAGTGTAGGAAGCCATGAAGGAGCCATAAATAAGAATTGTGAATCCTGTTCTTGACATACAAGCTTGACAAGAAGATCAGAAATCAAGTAGAAGTGGAAAGTCAAATAAGGTTTCCCTTCATGTAAACGCTTTTTCTTCTCTTTCCGTTTCAGGATGGTTTTAGTTCTTCTCCAGAGAAAGGCATCCTGATAAAAGGACATGGGCCATCCTTTAATTGGTAAGTGGAACTGACATTTTTGTGCAAAGCCTTAAAGACCTCAAAGCAATGATTAGAGAACTGACCACAGAGGAACATTAATCAGGAGACCAAAATAATCCTTAACATACTGTGAAAAGGTGTTTTGTAGTGATTATGACAGAAGCCAACTGTTTGTTGGAAATTTTTTTAACAGTTTGAAGTGAAAAGAAGACCTGAGGATAGAAAGAGAAATTTCACAAGATTCAAGAATTGTATGGTTCTTCCCTGCGTGATAAAGCTTTTGGTAACGCTGAAGCATTCTTTCTCATTCAATGCCCATTTCTGTTGCACTGGTCATAAGAAAAAAAAGCAGAAAGGATTTGAGAACAGGTGTATGTTTCTTGTTGGAACATAGAGAGCAAACAGACTGAAGTGCAAGACCTGTAAGCCATCTCCTGAAAAGAAGCTGCCTAATGAAAAGCATGATAGCCTTAAAGACCAGTGGATGGTAGGCACATTGCTGTCAATGAAAACGTCAGGGAATCCTAAACTTATTTGAAATTTTTACAGTGGTTTTTCAGGGGTCAGTTAAACTTGACCTGTAAATTTTAGCGGGTAAGGTAATTAATTAAATTAAATTTAGCAGGTAAAGTAATTAAATGCTTGCAACTGGATGGACATATTGAGAGCTACCGTAAGTATGGCTGCACATGATATTAGATAGTAAAGGCAGGGTCAGTGATATGAAGAATTACTCTGGCAAACCTTTAACAAGGCATCTATATAACATAATCAGTGAGGAATGGGATTTTCATTTGACGAACACCATGCACTTATTGGCAGTTTCCAGGTGGACCTGTGTGTATTTAGTTGCTTGTTTTATAGCTCTTGCTCTACAGGTGAACATGCTAAATACTGCAGAGTTATTTGGCCATATGCTTCTGTTTTTATAGTGCTTTATTTTGCAGGCTCTTCATATAAATAGAATCATTCTGTTCCACCAAGAGTGTGACTGTGTGGTGGTGAGGGGAAGAGAAAGGAATGTTGTTATTTCAAACATTATACCTTTTGCAAGAGAGCAGATGGTGTTTGTATATAGGGCTTCAAGTAAGTTTTCCATTCTGCTGAAGCTACAACATTCCTCCAGATTGAGTAAGTGAAATTAGTGATTTTAGATCTCCCTGAATGTACCAGGTTGCATTACAGTTGATGCCAGCATGTTTAAAATCAACAAATGTATCTTAACATCTTATTGACTTTTTTGAAAACTTTTTCCTGTTTTTTTTTTTAAATGATACTAGTTTAGCATAATATAGTTGGGTCCCTAGTGTGGATGGAAGAAGTGATGCTTGCTTTAAAATTTGCTAGGTACATGGTACTTTGGCAGAAAGACAAAGAAATAAATCAAGCATCTAATCTAATTACAAAAATTGGAATCTAAATAATTCACCTGTTTCTCGCTTGGAAAAAAAAATTAAGGACCTCTTCCAAGAATCCTTTTACTTAATGCAACATGACTCTTTTAGGAGCCTAGAGAGGCAGTGTCTAAGGTCAGATATGCACATTGGAACCTGAAATAGGTTTATTAAAGCTGACATGAACATATGTAGGAAAATGCTAATTTAAATAAGGAAGGAAACCTGATGGAAATGATTGAATCTATATCCCCAGTGAATTTAAACTGTTTAAACTGGTAATTTTTTTTAAAGGAAAGAAAATTTGTTGAAGTAATCTGTCTGAAGTGGGAAACATTCTGCATTCTTCCCTAAAATGTGGAGGAGGGTGAAAGTTTTCCTGTCCTAAATGTGGTGAAACTGGTGTAGCCCAGGGGAAGTTATTTAAAAGTAAAATTAATGTTTTTCTTATATATTGAGTATCCCCATTCACGTCTCTGGGCTTGACTCATTCACATCAGATATTACAGAGGTCTAACTATTGACTTTAAAAACCAATTTTTCTGCTTGCTTACATTGGTTGACACTAGAAGAATTCTCAGACAGTTTGTGGAGTTTCACCAGTTGTACGGTAGTGTGAGAAGAAAATCAAGCCCAATGTAAAATGATCAGGATTTGAAGAACTGAGGGCATTTGTTGATACTGTTGGACCTATGTCTCTATAAATATAAGTCTCGTATGACCCATAGGATCCCTGGCTTAATTTGTTCTTTTTAGAATTAGGACTTTTCTACGTGCTGTCTTGATACTGTACCTGAGATCAGGAACACTGGAGAATTTGTATAGATTTTGGGCCACCTCAACTTCATTGGGGTCACATAGTGACCCATAAATAAGTCATTGGTGTGGATGAATTGGAACTGTTCAATTAAGAACATAGCATCTGCTATTTTGAGCTATCGGTGTAACTGTTAATCTGTACCTGGTCTGGCCAGTAAGGGGGAATGAGGCATTTCTTCTTAGTAAGTTTTACAGATCTTTGATAGCAGAAGAACACTGAGACTCCAGAACCCTTGTTCCCATTCCAGTTTGGAGAGGGGAAAATACTAGAGTACATGTTAAGCTGTTCCTAATTCCCTCCAGTCTGTCCTTGTGCCAGTGTTGTTTCTACCTATACCCATTCTCTGCTATTAGTCTGACATCTTGATCCAACATTTCAGAATTCTTTGTTGTGGATTTTCAAGGTGAGTTTGGAAACACTGAATCTAAATGCATGCTAATTGTGGACAAATAACACCTCTTTGGTTACAAGATCCCGTTGGAATTCAGACATGGGAACTACATGCTGTCTTTAAATGCTACCAATATTAAATATGCCTTTTCTTGAAACATATGCTAACAAAGTGGCATCTATGAATCACAGAACATCATGCTGGGTGAGAATAAGGGCAATGATTTACATTGTGTTGCTGTCTAAATTAGTTAATTGGCTTTCTGTGGTACGCCCTTGCTTAATTTGGCTTTGGAATAACAACACTTCCAGCTTATTTAAGAATATGCTTCCAATGCAGAGATTTGTTTTGAATAACTTAGCTTTACAGCCATTATTAGCATAGAACAAATCTGTGTGATCCCTATCACTAAAGTTGCCCTCACAAATATTCACTCTAGAGATAATTAAACTGGAGGGATGAAAATTTTGAAGTGTGATACATTTTTGGTTGGTGTCTAGAATAGGGGAAGAATTGTGTTAGGGACTTCTCTAGAGTATTGCAGTCTCATTGTTACCATGAACTATTGCTATGGGAACCATTACAGAGGAACTACAATAAGAAAGAACTTTGTTTTGAGGAGAAAACATACCTATGAGATCCAATATATATATATTTTTTTCTACTTCTGTCCAATGTACTAAATAGTATCTAAGACTGATCTTTTTGGACGCCTATTCAAATATTTGTAGACCAGATAATTTAGGGAGCTTTGAAAATTTCAACAGAAAATAATTGGCATGATTAAGAGGAGTGCTTGCTATAGTAAAGCGTGTTGCTATGCAAAATGCCCTTATTTGCCATCCTGTGCTTCAGATGACAGGAAGTGTTCAGCAAGTTGCATAGAAAATATAACTGCCACTGGATATTAGGGGTTCCCTTGTTCATATCCTGAAATATGAGAGAAGGAATACAAAATTCTGATGAAAGTACAGAAGATACTTGTGTACCCTGTGCCCATATTCACATTAGTAAGAAAAGCTTTACTGCCTCTGCTCTATTCATATTAATACAATACCAAACAAGGATAAACATCACTAAATAATTATAAAAATATTCATAGGTAAAAGGTGGTTATCTATTTATCTAGAGTAAGTAAGATACTGATATATGCAATGAAGGATGGTCTTGCTATTTGGCTAAGACACAGCAGCACTGTGGACTCAGCGGGTCTGAGTTCAGTTAATGGTTGTGCCACAGGTATCTTGGGTAAAAAGTCATTTTATTTTTGCATGCCTCAGTTTCTTCTAACAACGCATGTTTACCTCGTGGGAGAAGTTGACATACGCATCTGGAAGCCAGTCCCATGTTACAGGACTGGGGCTGACTCAACTCCAGTTACCTCCTGAAAGAAAAAAACCCTCTTATTTGTGTACTGACACACAAAGGAGTCTATTTTTTCGAGGAATACAAAGAGTCTATTTTTTCGAGTGCACGTGCATCTTTTTCTTTGGCTTCTATAGGAGCAGTAACAGAATTGCAATTCCTGTTCCTAAAGGGAATAGTGTGCAAATGCAGAGATGAGAATGAAACCATTCTTAGTCATTTTAAATATCTCTTGCCATCTATCTGCTGTGGAGAATTCTGTAGTGGTTCTTATGGTATAAGTATTTTAGCTAAATTGGGCAGTAAGGTGGGAGGAAGTAAGAGTACACAATATTTTGTCATGCATGGTAACTTGGGGTTGCTGATGTAGAATCTTAAGTCCAAATTTAGTCAACAGAGTTGTAGAAAAAGCAGTTCATTCATTGGGAAGGATTATTATGGCAGGATGCAGCTGAGGAGATAAGATGATGTGGAGAAAGGTGAGAGGATATGAGATGTCCAGCTTCAAGACCCTGATTTTGTTTGAATCTCATGTGCCAGATGAATACCCTAACCATTAGAATATTAGGGTCATTCTCTCTTTTCCCACTTATTTTACTCTGTTGGAGCTGCTAGACATTATGTCAAGTGAGCCAGATAATGTTGGATGTTATAGCTCAGTGATAAGGGCATTTGCCTGGCATGTAGGATTCCCAAGTTCGCATTTTTGCTTTCCCTGATTCTGAGCTGAGTCTTGAATCTTGGGCTCACACATACCAGCTGAGTCTTTTAACCACTGGGCTAATGGCTCTTCTTTGTTCTGTGCGGGTTTTTGTTTTTACAGAAGTTCTCAGTTTTGTCGTGATGTGGAAAGAAATGATGTAATGGCAGTTGCACAATTGAAAAATATGTCACTTGTGAGAGTATTCCACAGGGTTTGGGGGAGATGGTGTTATGCCCAGAGACACAAAGATGACTACTTTCTCTCTTTGGTGGACGTCAATTTCAGACTTTCAACATTTTCATTATAGCAGCTTGTCTTTGTCATTGAACTCCTAGGCTAAGTATA